TGTATTGGTTTAATTTGGTGTTTATTTATATAAGTTCAGTGAATGAACAGATGATGTTCATACTATTCAGTCAGGATAGTGCAAGGAAGATTATCACAACTATGTGATATATAATAGCATAGTACATTTTGAATTGGTTTAAATAAACTGACACAACAAAACCTACAACTGAGTGTATGTTCGCTATCAACCTGACTTCATAAATTAAAAATTCACAACTTGCTTAATTGTAACCGATTATCAATAGACTTAATTAATATGCTAGCGATATAGATACTTGTTGCTAAAAATCAATAAAGATCTCTCTCCACAGGGTTGACAGGTGATATTGGATTTATTCTTAACTGAATTAATTGAAAGGAATCAGATGAAAATTTAGAAAAAAAATCTTTTCCATGCTCACTAATTGACACTATAAATTAAATTAGAATTACATCGTTCATCACGGTATCACGTGAACAAATGACAGTGGCAAATTTAAACTGTGAAATATAGATTACTGAAGAAACAATAACCTAACTAATATTGATCAGTAAACATATTATTTATTTATGCATAATGCACTGTGTAATGGTTTTAAATTATCCTGTTGTTGATATTTACTTGACATTTGATCAGTTTCATAGTTGGCAGAGGACAAAACGCGGGTCTTATATTCCTCGAGTGCTAGCCATATTCTATCTATTCTATAAACATCAACATTTGTGTGTGTTATGTCAGGAATGAGTTTTCTCCCTGAAACAAACTAAATTAATTATTATTGTTATTAGTATTATTTTATTTTATTTTTATTGAAATGATTGATTACAATGAATGAATTCTGGTATTATTCGTGTTATTGTTGTTGGTTGCCTTATGCATTGTGACAAACCAAATGGAATTATTCAAACAAAAAAATCAAAAAAAAACATACACTCTCTCACACACACACATATAATTCAATGATATTTCCCTGACGTGATTAAATCCACTTTCCATTGATTTGTTAGTGGTAAGAGGATTTTTTGTTGTTGTTGTATGTATATATTCCGGTTATATATATATATATACATACATATAAACCTACATTTATCTACATTGACTAACTGAATGCATATACAT